TGAATTTTTTTCTTCTCCTTTGAAAGTTTTCTTACCTCTTAGTTACAATAATAATTGTGTTGACATCATCTCGAATTTGCAGCATATTAGTTAGCTTTTAGTAAAGCCATTTTCTTAAATGGTAGGTAAATCGTTTGACAAAAGGTCTAAAAGAAAAAGATTCTTTGAAAATATAAAGTTTAAAACATAATTGATAGGTTATATTAGTTTAAAACAAACGATGTGCTTCTTAATTTTTGGATTTTTAAATAATTTAATGTTAATTATACTTATTTTCTTACCAGATAAACATTATCTATCGGCTACACATACTTTCGGCTACATGTGGGATGTTTTCTTCTTAACCTCTCTCTTCTTTTCTTCTTCGAGTCTGGTCTGAATGGCCTTTTACTTTTTTATCTTGTCAACAGAGGCGTTAGGAGAGGAAAATTAATTGATTTATTTTAATTAAAATGTTGTAAATAATTAAATTATACACGAAGAATTATAATAATTTATTATAAGTTAGTCATTTTTATAGTGTCCATCATGGACATTTATTGAACATCCATTGGACGTCTGAATGGGTATATCCATTGGTTAACAGAAAATGGATGTCCAATGGACATCCATATAAAGTTCATGGACATCCAGGACATTATTTGGACAAAATATGGACGTCCAATGGACGTCGTGTGCTGTCTGGATGGTGTCATACAATCTTTATGCGCCAGATTTAAGCGATACTAGACTTAAGAGTTTTAAAAAATAATTGTTTAGGCCATTTTACATAAATAAAATGTATTGAAATCACGTTTAATATAAACCTTAATTTAATAGTGACAATAAATTGACGTCACACTAACGTCGAATTTGTGACGTCAAAAAGACGTTAAAAAAAGTGACGTCATAATCACCTCATTTTTGGTAACATGACGTCGATGACCAAGAATTACCAAAAAATGTCGTCAAAATGTCGTTAGTCTGCTGCCTGGGTTACAATCATTGGTGCAACTAAGATGGAATATACAAAGCGATAACACCGTTAGCAGAGTGTAGATCTCACGCGGCAGCCGTTTTAATTGATTTGTTTTATATTAATTAACATAAGTTGATTATTATAAGACATAAAAATATGGTTGGTATTTTGTTATGATTTAAACACATTTTAGAACCAAGGAAATTGCGAACTCGCATTTTTTATATTTTGGGCCGTAAGCTAAATGTTTAAAATAATACATTTACCTAACTTGTAAAGTGACTTTTTGGATTTTGCGGTCATATTGTAGCACAAGTTACGCTCTATGCAATGGTACCAATATCTCGTTTTTTGAAAATAGTGCTCTTCTGCATGGTCTAATTTTGGATTACCTCCGGTTTTAAAATCTCAAAAGTTTTCATTTCACTAAAAATTCAGCTTGTGACACTTAGTTCCTTACAGAATTCATTTCTAGAGCAGTTTTGTTACAAATAGCACCATACTATATCTTTAGAAAGGTCGTCAAAACATACAATGTCTAGCTCTAAATTTCGAAAATTACTCTCACTCTCACTACTAAATAACGGCGGGTAGTCCGAACCTGGATGTATATTGTACAACACCATCTGATGCGAATTCTTAGAGGTGTAGTTTACGACCGGTTATTTCGGAACGGATTTGTGTTTAAATTCAAATTCAACTTAATTTACATATTAATACATATTATTATTTACCAATATGCAATAATGGGATAGAAGAATAAAATAAATGTTTTCCTAACTGTTAAAAAAAGTAGATTCATTATTACGTGATTTTTATAAGTAGGTATATATGTACCTATTATGATTTTTGTTGTTGATTTAATAATTCATTATTCAATAGTTTTTGAACAATCATAAAATAGAATTTTCATTATTCACATTCATTAAATTATTCTGTAGTGAGGAATTTTTGAAAAATACGCCAAATCAGAATGAAAAAGACTTAAATTTGTTATTAGTTGCATTTAAAAATGTAGTATTTTCGTTTGCATTTTTATTAAAACTAGTTAGGTCACAGACATAATATCCTGGTATTTATACAGGAAAGCAGTGGTAGTTTGTTGATGCGAACCTAAAAGGACAGAATATGCGATCGATTATTTACTAATGATCAAGAAAAAATGTTCAGTTCAATACCACGAGTTCGCCAAATGTTATCAATTAAATTTTTAGTTTCCACGAAAACGTATTTATTTGGAAAAACCACGAAAAAACCGATTAATAAAATCACAAGTAATGCGTTTTAGTATGGAAACTGAAAATTAAATAGATAAAATTTAAAAGGACAAGTGGTATTTGAAAATATTATAAATTAAAATTTATATGAAAAAGACACAGTAAATATATTTGGAGAAGGTAATAATCTAAAAGCTTCTACAAATGGTTTATTAACCATAATAAAATTAATTACTAATTCATTTTATAGTATAATAATTTCCCTTACTATTCTAAAAAAAAATCAATATCGAAACAACCTATTACTGCAACAGATGGAATGTGCCGGGCATGCGCAAAAGCGCGGAGAAATAAAATAAGATCTGCTTAATTTAGAACTGTACTGTATTTAAAAAATTATATTTAATTGACAAAAGTTGGGTGTAAGTTGGTTTCATGTGTACAGTGATTTAACATAAACAAACAAAAATATGTTAGTTTATATTATAAATATTAACGATTTTCATTTGGTGTAGTAATATTAACAATAATTTTGAAATTTTGGAATTAACATAGATTTAAGTTACATTTAAGTTTAATAAAAGTTAGATTATGTTTATAGTGTTCAGTTCAAAAAGTTAAGGTACTTTTATCAAGCAGACAAAAACGAAAAAGTCGTTTAATCACCACAAAACTAAATGATTGGTTAGGATAGTGAGGTCTTAATGGCTGATATCCTAAAATTATACAATTTTGACAGATGTGAAAAATAGTCTTTTTACAGATGTCAAAGTGACAAAATAATTTTGACTTACGGCTTATTTATAAAGGAAAAAATTAACATTTTAAAAAGTTGCAAATTTATCATTGCCAATTACTGATAGTTATTAACATTTTAATATGTATCTATATAACAAAAGGAAAAAGGTTGAGTTTAGTGCGGGGAATATCCAACAAAAAAAAGAATATTGAGACCATCCCCGCAACCAAAAGTAAGAGGGAAGTCAAACTGTAGACGCGAGCTTCTGATCATACTGATGAAGAACAATCAGTCAGAAGCACGTGTTAACGGTTAGACTTTCTACTATTTTTTGTGTTTATGTTATGTACCGTCATCCGGGGTTACTTAAGCCACTTCTTCTTAATTTCAAACATTTAGTATTTAAAATCAATTTACTTTAGAAATTAATTAGTGCAAAACTTGAGTATACTGTTCTACTTTATGATTATATATAAGGATATTTTTTCTTTAAACGTGTATGGTATTGACAGTATAGACGCTGCAGAAGTTGGAAAGGCTTTTCGCAGTTTTCCCACTTCATACACATCGACAGTTCTGCGGCGGAGCTAACCGAAGTGGACGCGATACATTGGCGTACAAAATTATTTTATAGATGTTAATAACAATTTCGGGTAAATGTAAATAGTTTAATAAATTGTAAATAGCTGTTGAAATTTTGTAGGATTATGATTTGGATATTATATTACTTGTTTAATAATTATTTCTAGTCCATAAATACATGCGATTGTCCGGTTTTGCCGGTAACAATTTAAAATTACTTTTTATATGAAACGACCCTGGCAGGTAAACATTACCGCGAAATTCTCGAAGCAGTCCGACGTGGTTTGACGCTTACTCCCTCTTTATATACCTACCAAAAGCCTTTCCAACTTCTGCCCCTGCTATGAAATAAAGAAATGATGGTTTTATTTAGCCGTAATATGGGGTAACAAAAACCAGTCTTTGTAAATCAACGTTTGGCTTAGGTTAGCAGAAGTTTCAATAAATGTACCTACGCAATTCGTAATTGCTTGAAAAACGAATTCGCAGTAATTAGGGTGTAAAAAATTAAATATAATTAAACTTACACTATTTATGTTTATTTTATATTGAAAACAAAATGTTTATTTAAATAGGTTTTTATAATAAAGTTAAATTATTAAATTCAAAAGGGAAAGTATGATGTCCTCTAGTAACTTTAATAGGATTAACAATCGTGATAATTTCTGTGTTACTATCGTCCATTGCATCAACAACAACTGGAAACACATATAATCTGTTTCCAATACTTTTAGATCGCCTGCGCTCAGAACGTATAAGGCCTGCCAAACTTTTTTTGTCACATGTTTTACCTTTTACTTAAAATTTCGAAATTTTCCGAAGCCTGCCGCAAGGAAACACCTTTTTTAACTTCTTCTACAGCTTACTTCAGATTATCTTCCGAGAGATAACTATATTGATAATTTCAAGGCATATTGTGTCCTTATATTTTAGTACGGTGAAAAAAACTAAACAAAATGAAAATATAACGCATGAAATGGCACAAATGTAGAAGTATTATTTAAGCTTAAGTTGAAAAACGATTACACTGCATTTAACTTAAAAATACCATTGTGGCGAGTAAAATTATAAAGGTTATAAAATTTTAATAAAAGTAATATCAAAATAAAATGTTTACATACACTTACCTTTAGAAACTAAAATAATTCAATGATCACTGGCGAAAACTTTATTAAATTACCAAATCATACCATTAAAACAAATTTGCGACCCTAAACAGTTTTGTACATAATCATTATTTTAAATTTACACTTCGAAATGGTTTTTGCTTTCATATAATATATTTTTTAATTTACCTATAAATTATTAACTATTATTAACATTGAATGATTAATCTTAAATGTTGAACTTCAACTATTACCACAAACAAAATAATATACTTTACCCCTACAGGTCCCTAAATTTCAGTTATTTTCAAAACGAAAGTTCCCACCTCTAATAACCAATAATAGGACCATGCGCAATAAGAACAGTTACAACAACAGAACATCATACGTGTTTCAGGTGTTTGTACAGGTGGTTGTGTGGTTTTTTATGTAAACATTTACCCTTAGGAACCAATCAATTAATCAAAATTTAACTTTATGAACCCTTCAACTAAGGTAAGTCCTTATTTTTTATTATTAGAGATTTGTATATAACCGTTACAACGGTATTAAAACAAAAGACTGACAAAAACCGGTTGAAAAGTGCCATAAAAAACTAAATGTCTAATTTTATTTATGAAAACGTTATTATCATGATTGATAACGCTGTCACTAAGTGCTTATAAGTACATATACCTTCAACTTATACCATTTTATCTATTCAATTTAAGCGATAATTTCCATATTTTATTTTCTCTGCAATTTCAAAGAGTACTGTTTCGCAACGAGTATTCAGGTAATTGTGGGGTCACGGTTAATAATTATACTGTAAAAATGCAATTATTCTCGAAAGTAACCTGGGTACTTTGATTTAGATATTATGAATTTTTTTTGACACTTAATGGCAAATCGAGTTTTAATACCTAGGTAGGTACTGTCTTAATTTTAAACATAAAATGGTATTATATATACCAATATGGAAAATTGGTTGTACATTTATGTTATAGTAGTTAAAACAATGTTCTATTTTGATTAATAAAGGTGACATAAAGATAAACATTATGTACCTAGAACAAAATCGTCGTCAGCAGATTTCACATCCATATTTTTTGAAGGTTAATATACCTAGGTACTTAATTTAATTATCGTCAGTTTATTTTTTTTAATATCCTTTGATCCTGTTTATTTTGAATGCATCCCTTTTTAAATTATTGTTGTAGAAAAGGTGTCATAAGTAACTATAATGCAACTAAGACAGTAGCGTAACTCGAAAGAGGCCTCGGTGCAAGATATTCGCGGCCCCTGCTAGGTTAAAAAAAATGCACATAAATACCTAATATATTATATCAAAAAATAATGATTATCTTAAAAACCTATAATTAACTTCAATAAAAATATACATGGTGTCCCATTAGTGCGTGTAATTGTTCAATATTTCAATTTGTGTTATAGTTGGGCAATCAAATTTCAAATAAAAGTTATATGGATTAATAAAAAACTTATTTTAAAAATATTTTTGGATATACAGGGTGTTGCGTTTTTGCCTGGCAAATAAAATTGTATATTTTTTAAATTTTATTTCAGTTTTAGAATGGTGCTGACAGAGCTGTTTTAAAAGGGTATACTGTATATGCCGCGTATCCAAGATTCAGAATCACGGTCGAAACCTTGGGCTGCTGTATCGAATTCACGCATCTTTTCAATCAGTACTAAAATAGTCACAGTGGCGTGCATTGGTTTGAATTATGGATCTAGAAGAGTGTACACATAAAGTGCGCATCATATGGGTTTTTTTTCTCTAAATAATGTAGGTGAATTTTGACTGTATCTATAAAAATGATAATGAATGACATGCAAATGGCCAATCAAGTAATTTTTGTAAATGTCAAAATTGACATTTTTTCTAAAAGTTGCAAAATATTGCATTTTTTAAATTTCTAGAAATGCCTTAACAAACAATTGCTTATTTTTTTACCCATACAGCAAGTTACAAGTTCGCTCAATATTTCAATTACTAATAATTCAGTTTTGGGTTAATGAAATTTAAGCGAAGTTGCACAAAATATAAAAAACCTTTAAAAAAAGCGCTTCACGTAAAAAATTATTTCATACCGGTTTGCTTAAATTACAGTAACCTTGAAATAAATTGGTAGAAAATAAAAAAAACTTGAAAATTGGTATATGGTTATAAAATAAGCAACTTTTTTTGGGCATTTCTCGAACTTTTGATAAATAGGGCAACTTTTTGCAACTTTTAAGGAAAGTCAATTTTGACATTTGGAAAATGTCGCTCGTGATTGCCCATTTGCATGTCATTCATTATCATTTTTGAAGCAACAAATGATGGTAAAGTCAAAATTTATCTATATTATTAGAAAAATTCCATATGATGCTAACTTTATGTGTGACACTGTATATTAAGATAAAAGTATAATACATTTTTTGGTCTCAAAAACTTTATGCTCCATCACTATTTTATAACGCTTAGTAATAACAACCTATGCATTTACATTTATAAAGAAAAATATCCTGCGTCTATGATATTGTCTCAAAAATATCCATGTCTGAAAACGTCCGTATATTGTAATAGTAATTCTGTATGCGGCATACGCCATTTAGTCTCCAGCGGCTGAAGGTGCCGGGATACAGAAATTCGGTATGCGTCGCCCGTCGTCGAATAGGTCAATTTGAATATATGTTTATCCTGTATCTCAGACACGCGTATCTCGTGCGAAAGAGACTTTTTACAAGAAGTCACACGTGGTTGACTGTGCATGTCATTCGTTATCATTTTTGAAGCAACAAATATATTACACTTACTTTTTATAATATTTTAACTGAAATTAAATATGGAAGATTAAGTTTAATTCGCTATTTTCATTTATATTATAATAAATACAATATTTTAACTGATTTAACCTAACTTTTCATCATTTCCTTCCATAAAACTTAAAATAAAGTGATTCATGAAATTATCAGTTCTTGACACATATGGTCCTCGAGTTTGCAACGTTGCCATACTATATTGATTTTTAGCACTGTCTGATAATTTCCTAGTTTAAGATTTTTGTTTGAATGAGAAGAAAATATAATTATTGGTTATAGGTGAATTACAAAGCAAATATATTATTAATTATTACTTTGTTGTGATTGTATTTGTTAAAAGTTCACGCACAACCCGCTATGACTCCAGGCCGTACAGCGTAGCCGAGAGATCAGAATGAAGGAAGCCAGAGTATGTTTAAAAAAAGTTTACGGAAGGTGAACTTGGCTCCCGAAGTGAAAACATTTGTAGTAATCACAGCCATCCTTTTAATTTGAGCTATGTACAGGCTGTTGGAGTCTATGCCGGACGGCGTAGCCAGACACTGGCTGATATTTTCTGGTGGCGGCGAAGCCGCCACCCTACGAAAATTTGTTGTTTCGCCTTTTTGTTGTATATTTTCTTCTTCTGATTCTATATCACTTTTGGTTTGCCATGGGAATTTAGCGCTACATTATTGGATGCACGTGATGAAGACACGCTCGTTAAAAGTCGGGAGCCAGGTTCATGGGCTGACGCTAGTACCTGCTATCGCTCTAGGAGGAAGCGGTATTCGCAGTAACACACTCCATGCTTACAGATACGCAGATACGAAAATATAATGTGTTAGGTGAGACTTTTTATTTTAATTTGAGCTGTGTCCAGGCCGTATGTGTCCAGGCCAGACCGTACAGCATAGCTGAGAGATCAGAGTGGAAGAAAGTTTAACTTTTCATTTCAATTTGAGCTGTGTCCAGGCCAGACCGTACAGCATAGCTGAGAGATCAGAGTGAAAGAAAGTTTAAAAAAGTTGTCTTTATGTATTACATGTTTTAGTGATTTAATTAATTTCACTTTTTAATTTTGTATGTAGTTTTTTGAGCTGCATTTTTAAAATTAATTTGGTTGATTTTTGTTAAAATCGTAATTTATAAATTTTAAATAATATTTAAACCTTTAATTTTATTAACAACTTGGCAACGTTTGTTTTGTGATTATAACCTGTAAAATTGAGATTTTTAATTAATTTTTTTTCGAAAAATTCTGCTCATCCATAATTTTTTTTTCGAAAATTTACTAAAGAAACTAGTTACTTTTGAGTGTTTAATTTTTTTTTGTGCATTTTGCACCTCAGGATCCTTCGCAGGACTCTTTATCTATATCATTAGAAAAATTCCATATGATGCTTACTTTATGTGTGACACTGTATATTAAGATAAAAGTATAATACATTTTTCGGTGTCAAAAACTTTATTCTCCATCACAATTTTATAGTGCTTAGTATTAACAACCTAGGCAGTGCAATTTGTATAGAAAAATATCCTGCGTTCATGATATTGTCACCGTTGCAAAAATATCCATGTATGAAAATGTCCATATTATTATATCGTAATAGTAATTTTGTATGCGGCATACGCATTCAGCTTTCGGCGACTGAATGTGCTTAGATACAGAAATTCGGTATCGCGATATTGTATGCGTCGCCCGTGCCATGCGAATAAGTCAATTTGAATGTACGTTTAGCCTCATTTTCGGATACGCGTATCTCTCATACAGTATCCTCGTCTGAAAGAGGTCTAAAGCTATACTTTTTTAAAGCAAAACACCCTGCAGGTAGATAGGGTAGGAAACACTTAGGAGGTGTGAGACGTAACAGCGTTGGGATGTAGAAAGGTAGGGAAGTAGGACGGCGGAACGTTGAGCGTCGGGCCGTTGACAGCGTTCGGGAGAAAAAAAGGTATTGTAGGATAGACGTCGGTTAGGAAGTGCATCGATTTAGAAAAGGTACTGAATACTAAAATTGCAATATAACTGGCTGAATGAATGAATATAAAATCATAATCTAAAAATGAAATCTCTCGGGTTTGGGTATTTATACCCGTTTTATTGATTTTTGTGACGTCAATTTGTCGTAGCTCCGGTAGGAACGAAATTGGGTGGATAAAAAAAGGATGGTAGATTTATTATGTGCCTTGAGAAATTCTCAGAATTTGGTATCGAAATCTTCTCGAAAACGGTCTTAATATTCGAAACTAGGAAGATAAGCGCCTAAAGTGTTTTAATGATTATTATTTCCTATGGAGCTTTTTGGATCGAATTCTTATTGGATAACTTTTTATGTATTCTGTTATATTAGAGACCCTACGAACAGAAATATTGCTTTTATTTATTAGGCATCATAGGTATGATTTTATTATCCAAAGATTTTTCGTTAAATGTAGTAATTTGAATTTAATAAGAATGCAACTTTTCTTTAATAAAATGGAATTAATAAGTTATGAAGGCGCCTTGGTGAGGTAGGTTACAATAAATATAATTTCATAATATGAAAAATGCAAAGCTCATTTTTAATTTTTTAATGTATTTTTCATCAAGTCTGATGCAAAATCTAATATTATATAGTTTACCTACACATTAATTGAACCCTCATACCACTAAAAAATCTTATTAACTCATTCAAATTTGAAAGAAAGAAAAAAATTAAGATTCTGAG